GGCTCACAACAGTTTTTGTTTGCTGGATCTTTTTAGTTCAGCTTTCCTTTTGTTATATTTCTTTAAGAGTTCAAAATGTGTTAATTACATAAATAAAATGTAATTTTCTCTGTAACTTCATGGATTTAAGCAACACAGCTTAGTTGTTCACACAAAGCATAAAGGTAAAAAACAATATATGCAGTCTTATCTTCATTTTAGATGTCACAAAGTATTTGCGGCTCCCAGAGTTTTCTTTTGCGTGGAAACAAATGGCTCTTTGGGTCTTGAGGTTGCTGACCCCTGATATACAGTCACTGTGGTATTGGTGCATGAATGAGTGCATAGGAGATGAATCGATAGCCTGTACGAGATCTTCACTCGACGATGTGTCTGATACCCTTTGCACATGTACGCACGTCCTCTGTGCATGTCTGTGCCTCAGATGGTCTTCCTGCAGAACCAGTATAAATAAATTACATTTGAACTGGTTTCTTCAGCATTTCTTGAATACCTGAGTGATTCAGATAAGCCCAGTTGATCTCACGCTTCACAGCACCGGAGCAGTGGGGATGCACTACAAAGAGAAAACGAATGGTGTCAGCAGCAGTATTTAACTGTGAGACAAAACAGTGAACTCCTGTAACAAATTAATAACTGATCACATTATGATGATGATGGTCAAGGATTAGTCTGGTATTAAGTAATTTTATTTGTTTATGGGAGCAGCTGAAAGCAGCTTTATTAAACAAGACTAAACAATTTAAGTTTAGAAATGGAGGAATAATGATTTATAAATAATGCCAAACTAGTACATTATTAATGATTAATAGTGTGTAGTTATTATAATATAGAACTATAATACAATTATATTGTGTGTTTGTGTGTAAATAAACAAATAAATAAAGACAGAATTAAACTGAATAGATTGGACCACTCAGCCAGGATTTAGCAGGTGCAAAGTTCAAGTATCAGAAAATGTTAACATGATGTTAGGATGGTCTCTATTAGTGTTACTATAAGATGACATTAGCTATGTTACCTTAGCATTTCTCCAGTGCTTGCTAACACTTTAGCCTGTGGAGCGGTTGGTTTCACAACGACACCGTCAGCCGTGTCAAACTAAACAACTTGAATGTTGTTAATGAGTCAAACTGAATGACGTTGAGTTCTTGAGTGGTTCTGCTGACTTTGCTACCCATCGACTCTGAATGGAGTTTGTGGCTGACTTCAGCTGAGTATCACTGTGTTATGTTCTGTTTTAGAAAAACAGCACCTGCTTTTTCACATAGTAACACTTTAAAATGAACGAGGTCAGGTGTGCATATTCTAACACAAAGAAGCAGCACTCAGCAGGATCAACGACAGGTCTGGTTGTTTATCCTTGTGATGGACCGAGCAGTGAAGGAAACTTAGGCACAGGTTAAAGTCCAAAAAAATGATTTGTTATTTAACCCAAAAACATAATTGGTTAAATCATGCAAAAAGAATCAAAATCTTGGGCCCATAAAAGAGGTCAAAATAACAGAAGTCTACTCAAAGTTGACAACACGACTGATAACTCAAACAAACTGACGTCACTTAACGAGACAAAGGGGAAACTTAAATAGTGGCTGATCAGCCCACAGAAACAGGAGAAGGGGTAAAATACACAAAACCTAACTAAACCAAACATAATGAACTCCAATTCCCCCCCATGGTCCCGAGTTATGGCATGAACCAATTTGCAGTCTTCCTTTAAAGCTGGCTCCGCGCCTTTTGCACCTCTTGGCTCCTTAATCAAGGGACTGGAACAGCTGCAACTAAGGTAACTCAGAAAACAAAAGATTAATCATACATAACAGTGTAAACTAAAATGTGCGCAATTGTTTTAGAATGCAGTGTCATGTGGATATGTGAATTAACTCTAAACCAAAACCAGTTATTTATTGTCCTGTAAATTAATTCCTATATTTAAAGACATGTGAATGCGATGTTACTTATAAGCCTCCACACTAACATGCTGGGTGTTACCACTGTGTGGCTGTAAGTGCAGCCATCACAATCCTTCACTGTAGTTTCTGTGTCCTTGCTGTGTCAGTGCAGCCTCCTGTCTCCACTTACTTGAAACATCCTGTTAATCAAAGCGATGCCTCTGTCACTGCCCTGCATCTCTCTTCTCTCTCGCTGCCTCATTTTGAGTCTCTTATGGTTTCTTCCTTGACATGAAGATCTTCTTTCCTTACATATTTCATCTTTGTGTTCCCCGTTTGTCTTTACAGTCTCTCTTCTTTTCTCTGCATGCATGTTTTCTCATCACAGGGTTAGTAGCAGTTTTTCATTTCTTTAAAATAGTCATGCATCTTACTAGGAATTTGATTGACCTTGGCTTTTACAGTAAAACCATCTGAAATGCACATAAAATCAATCTGTTTGAAATATTTTAGCTGAGCCTAGAGCTGTGGTTAGACATGCAAACCTGGCATCTACACCACATGTACCTACATGTACCTGCTGTCACAGACTGAGAAGAAAAGACATGTCAGAGCTTTTCCTCCAGTTTACAGTTCAAAGCTGCTTTTTTGTCCATCTCACAGCCTGAGACGAAGATTCAATAAATAAAGTCATAGCAAACAAAATCTAAGAAATCAAAAAATAGAAAAATAAAATGTGCTGTAATGTGGAAGCTTGCAGTCCTGGCTGTAACCAACCAGTTTACCAAATGAGTATTACAGCTCACAGTGCTCCTTTTGTGAGATATGTCTGCATCCACACTGATAATTAATAAAACATTGGCATTGCTCTTGGTAACTACGGGACTGAAGAACTTATTGCTAATAAGATCACATAAACATAGTTTAGCTTTTAACAGGTAATAAACATCAAAGCATATCACTTTAGATCCGAGTACTTTCTAACCATCATCCAGGCAACTCTTGGTTAACAATTTGCTCGTTTTAAGCAGATGCAAACAATACAAACAGGGACTGTTTTGATGTTCCTGTCACTGCTATCAGGACGGTGCACACATGCAGTAAACATGCATTTAAGTTGAAAACACTGTAGCATGAAAATGTAGCATCATTGACCTGAAATGAAAGCAGAATAACTGCTTCACTGTATTATTGTTAACTCAGAGTGCCCCAGAGAAACCACTGTGCAGATTCCGACTCAGTGGTTGTGTTCTTTGCAAGTGTAACAAACTCGACTAAATATGAGTTGATATTGTTGTATATTGTGTGTTTGTTGGTCATCAGCATGCAGGGTTGTGAATGTTTTGGATCCTGGGAGCACTGCAGATCTCAGCTGGACGTTTGCTTGTGAGATGATGTTTTCTGCATCTGCACCAACTTGCCTCCTGTCTTCCCTCTGACCTTTGTTTCTTCTCTGTCTGCACTAACATCCTTGTGTCTTCAGGGTTTCGGTGGTTCAGCAGGCTGCTCTGGGAGGTAAAACCAGTCAGTGTAAGCAGCATGGACAGATGTTCTGTTTCGTACAGCTCAGCATCCACCCTTTGATTGTCGTCTGTGTCCAGACCTGCTGCTTGAGAACATCCGTTTTCATTTGATTCTGGTTTTTGGTTTTGGTTTTGACATGGACTTGGTGCTGTTGCAAATACATGTCACTCATTGTTTACGACACTGTTTGTTTTTCATTGTATGTGTTTGACATTAATTTCATTGTTACAGCAGCATACTGGGGCTTTGTTTACAAACAACAAACAAAAAGAAATAAGAATTATATATCAAAACCTTCTAAATCACAAAGCTCTGAGAATAACATTAAACACATATGTGAGCTCACGTTGGTGCTACAGGGTGAAAATGTCCCTGTGCACGTCTGACTTTATCAGTTTGAGAATCTTCAGGTTTTGTTCGTATTAACGTTTCTAATATACCTGTAAAGGCCCAAATATACTGCTGTACATTACAACAATCCCCCACCCCCCGCTGTTCATGTTCTTTGTGAAGTGTTTCCGTGGTAACATCTTCATCATCATTCAGTAACATTCCTGATCTGAATCTATTCTGTACCTCGTTATTCACAGTTAGCGTATTCTTGTCATCATCTGTTCGTCGTTATATGTTTAATTGATTTAAGCTTTAATTCCCAGATCTGAAGCAGACGGTGTCATTTAATCAGTTCCATTAGGGATCATTTACACTAGTGGGTCGAGTTACAGTGGAAATGCAGCTTCAGTGCTGAAGCCTGTTGCTGTTGAAGCTGTGGTGCTGTGACTGTGGCTTTGGCCCTTATTAATGACACTGCACCCTCTCTGAGAGTCCAGTGTGGATGAGAGGCATCATGAAGGCAGACGAGGCCTGTTTCAGTCTTTATTTGTTCCTGATCGTCTTAGAGGCTTGAAAAACAAGTGAACGAATCCTTTAATGCAGACGGGTTCCTCTCATGATGTCTCCCAGTAGTTCATGTTTCTAAAAGTACAGTAATGATGAAGGAAAAACACAGATCAGCAGCACAACAAGAAATGAGTGCTGTGGAAAAAAATGTAACGCTTTTTAAACTTTTTAATGTAAAAATGTATCACAGCAAACATGTTTGCATTTCTATGCTCCACCGTCGGTTTGTCTCACAGGTCTTTAAATCTGCATGAAGCCCTTTACAGTTGTGTAACAGCGCAGCAGTGCGGACTGAAGTTTAGTTTCTCTGATGTAAATATTTTATTCTTCATGTAAGATACTGAAAGTCCAACATGAACAATCTCCTCCATACTTCATTAAATTGTTGGATCTATTTCCAGAAGTGAAGGGTTGCTCAACAGCAGCTCACAGTACTGTAGTGTGTCTGTTTTCACTGTCGGATTTCTGCCGTTCCAATAATATCTGTCCTGTATTAATATATCAGTGTTCCCAGTGAACTAGTAAAATCTGAACAGCTCAGATTTTCACATGTGAAAATTAAAGTGTTGATATTAGAGTCACAGCTACACAATGATGCATAAATATGTGGAATTATAATGCATCATAGCGGTTTAGATGTGACGTGTATCTAAGTTACAGATAAGCAAAGAAATGTTTCCAATTATACAAAATAGAGTTATTGTGAGGATTCTGACTGAGTGAGTGATGAACTTTAGATGACACTAGTTACAAGCACACAAATACGTCTGCTTATAATGTAGACAAATTAAAGTCTACAGTGTCATAACAGCTGATGGGATCAGGAACAGTACACCTGTATGACTGTAGCCATGAACGTGATCATTTAACAGAAAACAGCCACACCTGGAAACAAAAACATGATTCAGATTATTGATCAACTACAGACTCTTCCTGTGATTGTAACACACATCAGCACTGCTGATCTCTGAGATGTTTTTGTGGTGTAATGTGAGTGTTGTGTGTGCTGCAGGGTCAGGGGGCCATTACTGAGAAGCTGCGCAGCCTGAGCATGCACGACCTCACACAGATCGACCAGCAGGACGACAGAGGAAACCAGCTGTACCAGTACAGCTCCCATTCTTCCAACCCTGCTGTCAGGAGGTCTCGCAGCACTGACGCTCCGGATGGAGATGGTACGCACGCACACACACACACTCGTGCACTTCTCTCATAAACGTAACACAACTTCTCAATCACAACAACTCATGGAAAAGGAAACAAAAAGAGAAAACAGTTCGTAAACAAACCTAAAAGAATCAAATCTGTCATTAGAGGTTTGACTCGAGTCCTGACAGCTGATTGATAACATGTTTTTCTCAACAATGCTAAGTCAAAGGTCAGTCCTTCGTGGTGGATGAAGGTGGTGTCGTTCTGTTCGTCACTGGTTCTCACCACCGTCTCCATGACAACTACAACACGTCTCGTATCTGAGGAGGCCTGTTGGGGTTTGGAGCTTCGCAGTGAGCCAGTGACCGGACCTTTAGTTATGTGTCCCCTGAAAAGTGTCTCCCTGCTGCACACAGTTCAAAACCAACCAGAACCTGAAGAGCCTGAGCTCAGCGTTCAGACTGTTGTATGAGCAACAGTGTGAGCAGTGAGCACATGTGCTCAACACTCAGTCATGTAAGCACATGCAAACCTCACATGTAACGTGTAAAATGTGGAGATATCAGTGAAACTCTTACGTTTTTATTTTATTATGAGTTTGGCCAAAAATGTCAAAGCAGTAATTCATGAAGACTGACGCTGGTGATAAATAAGATTATTTTATCACAATGTTGACTAATAATAATTAAGAATAATGACAAACATCATAAATAATAATGATGATGATGGTCAGAAGAGAACAATAAGGCACAGATGAGCAGGACTTTGTTAAACAGCTACATTGTTACCTTTACCTACTCTCTGTGTGTTTGTCCTCAGCTTGATGAGAACTGCAGGCTGGTTGGCATTTCAATGAAAACACTCTGAGTGTGTGAGATGACTTCCCAGCAGACACAGGGGATGAGATAAGGCTGTGTGGGATGCCAGTGGAATGTCAAACACACTCTCCTGCTCGCTCTCTCTCTCTCTCTCTCTCTCTCACACACACACACACACACACACACACACACACACACACACACAGCAAGTAGGTGAGGTGTGGAAAGAGACAGAACGGGGGGTGAGATGGAGGAGAGGACAAAGATGAATGGAGATGAAGAGCTGGATGGGTGGATGTGAGGGAGAAAGGCTGCTCCACAGCATCAGGATACTGAGAGAGACTGTATTATGTATTCAGCTCAGACGAAGAGGAGGAGCTACAGAGAGATGAAGACGGAGACGTTTATGCCTGACGACTTCTCCTTTGTGTGCTCCTCGCTGCCTCGGAGGCTTCATGTTATGTCTGTCGTCCTTTTAACAGACTTAAAAATAACTGATGATGATGATGCACATTAGGGCTGTTCGATTAATGGTATATATCTGATGATGATGTGAAAACGTCTCGTTTAATATTACGCTATCGTTTGTTTTGTGGTGTCGCAAAATAAATTGTTTACGGTTTATTTTTTCATGGTTTTGATGGTCGCTATAGTGACTATATTAATTAAGGTTCTCTCTTTCGCTTATATTTAAAATAACCACACTACGGACAGATAAGCGACTGTTTTTACGCGTTGTCGTTAGCAACAGCGACGGTAAACCCTGCATTTGGCTCCGCTTCTTTATTTTCCACATAAACCTTTCACAATAAAGCTGAAGATCCTGTTGAGATTTTTCAAAATAAACTGAAGTGATGACAAACAGAAGGACCAGTCAAAACGAGGAGCTACCTCTGTAGCCTGGACATGGTTTGGTTATGAAAAGTCTGACATGTCAGAAAACTGTACTGAGGTCTCCACCACAGACTCAAACACCACAAACCTCTTTAACCACCGACGCAAGAATCACGTGACACAGTGTGGAGAGCGTTTACAGATGAGAAGCAACAAAGAGCCGTCAGGTGCTCAAAATAAACCTTAGCCTAAACGTTAGAACAGGCCTTTCCCCGCAGCACGCCGTCTTATACATACAAAGAAAATGACGGCCGTTAGTTTCATGCATCGGTCAAAACTTTCAGCTCCGGGTACTCGACGCCCAGCTGGAAATACTTCAGCTGCCCGACATTCCCAGAATTTACAGAAAAATGTTTTTGTGATTTATATCGTTGTCGGGACGATAAAGGTCTAATATCAGGATATGAGATTCTGGTCAAATGGCACAGCCCGACTGCACGTTCATTTTACTATTAACAGATCTGATGCTTCATAAATCCTGCATAGAAATGTAGAAGCTTTGTAGTGTTACGACCACGTGTGGATGAGACGCACGGAGTCGCGGATGTAAAGGGGAATGAGCTTAAATACCTTGAGCCATAGTTCTCACGTGATTCGAGAGCTGCGGTACTGCAGCCCTTTGCCTCCCAGCCATCCTTTGAATATCTTTGAGTTTACCTTAAGCAAAATGCCAGACAGTTGCTGTGTGAGATGTTCTAATCAGCCTTTACTTAAAGCAGCGTCGAGTACGGTACCAGCACGTGAACACACCTCTCCTGACCCTGCATTATAGCCTCGCACCAATCCCTGCTTCTCCACAGCGACCCAGCTGTCAGTGGCGGCTCATGTAAACTATAGGAACAATTTACCCAACATCAGGTGACAAATGAGAACACTAGCAGAGCTGGTCCTGCACTGTCCAAGTCAACAAAACATAAGATTTGTGGTAGTTTGTTTAAAGCAGCTTAATTTTGCTTTAACAATGAATCATATCCTGTTTTTCACCTTCTTCACATTGACCCATCCAGATAGAAAATACATGTAGCTGTCCATACTCTGAAAGCTTTCAGTCCTGTGTTAAGAGCGTACACAGTATAAAAGATGGGTGTGGCTTCTGTGGCGTCACCCACTGGTTTCTGACGTTTGAAGCTTCGATAAGCGTTTCCACTGTGGGAAGGATGCAAAGATATGGACGAGGAGGGTTTGTGACTGTGAAGCTGTACGCTGGCTGACAACCAGCTAATCAGTACATGGTTTTGTTTCACAGGTAACTGTGTCAAAATAGTGACTGAGACCATAAGAAGCCAGGTTTTCTCACTGACGTCTTCATGACTGGAAGTCTTTGTGTAACCATCGTCTTTCAGGAAGAATGCAGCTTTTTGTTACAGCCTTGGTTTATACTGTCGGTGGTTCTTTGCTACAAAAATACATATAGAAACAACAACAAGGTCGACAAGAAGAATTGAGGATGACATCATTGCTGTGAAAATTGCTGTCAGTTAATTGAAGAGCAGGAAACATGTTCCCCTGGACAGATCAGAGCACTGATGAGGCATGGTGCTCTGTTCTGGATCTGTACTGACCACAGAACTGGTCAGTGAACTGACCAAAGAAGAAGAAAAACTCAATGCATCATGGGAATCCCCCATCAGCCTACACCTATTGCAGCATAACTAAGGGAGGATTCAGGGTCACCTGGTCCAGCCCTAACTATATGCTTTAGCAAAAAGGAAAGTTTGAAGCTTTAAAGTAGAGATAGTGTCTGTCTCCTGAATCCAAACTGGAAGCTGGTTCCTGAAACCTGAAGGCTCTGCAGGATGTTTCTGTGCGAGCGCCGGAGCCGTGCTGTACAGTCGTGAGTGTCGTTCTGTCACAACACATAGTGTGGTTTCTTCTTTCTGTTAGTAACTGATTTTGAGTGTGTTTGGTAACGATTCATTCATCAAGTCCAAATCAACTTTGTCATCATACTAATATTCAAGTACAGTGCATACAGTTGATACAAGTAGGAGTGTGTATCGGCAAGAATCTGGAGATACAATATGTGTCACAATACAATATATTGTGATACTAAAAGCCAGACGATATTTGTTTGTGTTGATGATATGAAAACTCACAGTAAACAGTCCAAACTGTTAAATGCTTGACATGAGCTATGTTAACTAAACTAGAGGGATACGTTTCACTCACTTTATGTTCAAAATGAATGGAGAAATGTGCCTCATCAGAAGATAAACAAAAACCACTTTACTGATACATCAACTATTTCTTTGAAATGTAACACTGAGGTCTTACTTAGTGAGTGCTATGATTTTAAAATACTAATCCAAAAAATGCTCTCTGCAGCATCAAAAAGAAGCACTTTTATGTGACCTTAACATAAACAAACATACATGAAAAATGAAATTGCTTGAAGAATTCATCCAAGTAAACATTGACAATATAAAGTGCTAATAAAAGAAGGTCCAGCCCTGCAGTGTCCATCAGTGGAACACTTTTTGTGCAACCTGTTCGTCTGTGTGACTGAAGGCTCCACGGATCAGTATGTGAGGAGCTGTGATCTCCAAGTCCAAGCGTTGCGTGTGAAAGCAGCCGTCTCTGCTGAGCTGAGAGTCCAGGACTGTCGCTGTGACTTCTTGGTACAACTTTGGAGAGCGATGTCTGATATGTTGTCCGGAGAAACGGTGTAACGGGCTCCAGCGTTTTAATCACATTACCAAATCCTTTATTCTCTGCTGCACTCAGCCAATACAAACCAGTACTGACTGCGCTGGTTGTGTTGCACGAGTCAAAGTTGCTGGTAGTTTTAAGGTTAGCATTTGATGCTACGTTGCTATGGTGTCTAGACACATGTACATTAAATTTGTGTTAGCTGAGTATTTGACTGTGGCGGTGCAGATGTTACAGACTTCAGAGCTCTTGTCAAAGTCTTTACTGCCTTGTTTTGTCCTAAATCCAAAAGAAGTCCACACATCTGCTTTGAAAGCTGCTGAGGCCGGCTGCATCCTCTCCTCTTTTCATCAGTGAGCACAGTTTGCCACACGTCCGCCGTTCTTCTTCTTTGGTTTGGTAAAATCGACGCTTCTACAGCACATCCAGTGTTATCACGAGACCTTGTTTTTCCATCATAGTGAAAGCGGTAAAAACTGCTAACAACTAGCAGCTGGAGTTTGAATTGCTACACATAAAAGAAATATTCAATTCAATTCAATTCAATTTTATTTATATAGCGCCAAATCACAACAAAAGTCGCCTCAAGGCGCTTCATAGATACAGAGAAAAACCCAACA